GATATATTCGAGGGCAAATCTTTACGCAAGCTCGATATAAAATGTTATTTCTCGAAGAAAAGTCTTGCGAGTTAAGAACGAGGATCGTAAAAATTTAAATTATATTTGTACTTTTTTTTTATTATATCGTATCCGTGATTCTTATGTTAAAAAGATAAAGATATTCGCAAAATATTTTATTATTGGAAACAATAAAGTGAAAATGTTATAATGTTTCGTGTAAAAAAAGAAGAATGCATATTTAATTCCTTTAAAATACATTTCCATTTTCCAAATATCGAAAACCAATTAAAAAACTATACAGATAAAAATTTTGATATCAATTTTCAAAATCTTTTCTGAAAACTTATTCTATTTCTAATTGAAAATACCTAGTGGAAACGGTTTAAACACACTTTCCTGTTTCACAGAATGGGAATGCAGGAGCGCGGGGTGATCGAACGATCAATTATTTAAGCTATTCCCATTAACGTTGTCCCTATCGATGTATATCTTTAATCCATTTTCGTTCGTGCATCAATTAACCCGTCCATCTCTATCCGCGATGGACGTCGGCCCAATTAAATAAATTGCCAGAAGCTCTCGGCCTCCGCTCTCCACCCCCTCCCATAACGAAATGGAAAAATGCCGGGTGCCAATTTCGAAATAATACGCGGCGCGGCGGATATCGATCGAGAACCGAAATGATCGAGAAAGTGCACTCTTTTTTTTTTTTTCGAAACGTGTGTCCAGATGAATTTCCAAAAAAAAAAAAAAAGAAGAAGAAGAACGAAGGGGTAAAATAAATAAATGAAGAGACGATGGCCAAAGAAATTTATTTACGAAATGAAAAGTTACGATCCATCGATCATCTAAATTTTTTACACAGACGCGCTTTTTTTAACAAACGAAAACTGAAAATTTTCGAAAAAAGTAAGAGAAGATTGATTAATCCGAATTTTGAAATATCGAAAAAGTATTCTTTTGTTTTGCTTAAAAAAAAAAAAAAAATAGTATCCGGAGGAAGTACAAACCGATTACAAACCTGATAGCAGGTTTGATAAAAATCGAAGAGGGAGGAGAATAGAGGTCTCGTGGAATATTAAGATAGAAACGTGTGTATTTTCGATCACGAGCGTTAGACTTTTTAATGAAATAGAATTATATACGGATGAAAAGGATGTTCACCAATGTGATCCATAGATAAAACGCGATACGAACCAGAGATATGAATTTATGTGAATACACGCGTATACTTATGGCGATGAGAGAGAATTGAAAGAAATTGTTGCGTTCTCTCGTCCTCGTTTATATCTCCACGTATTTATATTTTTCATAACATTTAGAACGACTCTCTGTCCCTTCATTTAGATCCTTGTATCCAATGCATAAACGACGAGTTTAATATTTATATTGGATGTACGAGTATATGCAAGAAAATTGTGGCAAATGTGAGACGCAATTTGAATCGCGTTTAAAAAAAAGAGAGAAACTGAATAAAACATCATTGATACGATATTTTCCCGTGTCACGATAAAGGATCCACCTTTTTTTTCTTTTTTTTTTTTTTTTTTTTCTTTACACGGGTCACAAAGAAGCTTTGTGTTTTATATCTCGTTTTAATAACGTAACAACGATCCGAGATAAATCCGGAGTTTTTATCGGCATAAAATATTATATCGTCATTGTGCGGACGATGAGTCGAAATGAAAATTTCAATCCAGTCAGAAAATGGGATAGATCCGAGGAATTGATTAATCCCTTTTGACAGAATTTTGTATCATTTCTAATTGTACAATCTTTCCTGCGTTTGCAGGGAATCGAGAATATTTAATTATCTTTATTTCTACGTGAATACGTACGGGAGACGAATCATTCCACGTTGTAAAATTCGTTGCCAAGGATCGACGAGGATAGGACGAATTTACGATAGTTTAATTTTTCTGCGAATCGAATTTGATCGATTCGAGGATCGACTCGATTCGAATTCTCCGCGAGACGGTTTAAAAGGTATTAAACGGTTTAACGATTATGATTAAATTAATTTCAGCTTGGCATTAATCCGCCGAACAAATGAATTTCAGGCATGTACAAATCCTCCGCGCCTCCCACTGTTGTTGTTTCGTGCCGCTATTATTCCAGTTATTTTAATTACTTTCTCTCGTTTGTTAATACGATTTTATTACAATATCTGTTCAACCTTTCTCTCAATCTGTTTTCATGTTTGTTTGTACATGAATATTATATGTACTGTGTGTGTATATATATAATAATGTATATGTTAAAAGTTAATCAAAATCTAGGTGTTATTATCGATTATCAATATATTATAATTATGCTTCCCTCTTTCAAAGCTTCTTTAAATGATTTATTATTTATATAATAAATTCGCGGTACAAAGAGAAAGAGTAAAATTAGAATAAGTTTATATTCCAGATTTTCATCGTGTTTTCACAAACAGAGTAAAAATTGATTACGAAATTTCTTCAATCCATTCCTTGCACAAAAATTCTCCAATTTTTACTTGGCAATCAAAAATGAACAGAAAATTTGGATTAAATTTCATCATTTTGACCGTCATTTCCAAACACGATGATCGAGAAATGAGAGAAAGTGGGGGAGCAACAACAACTCGAGAGATTAAACTCGGAAAAGAATGGCGGTTCCACCGAAAATACTTGGAAGTTGCGCGCGCAAGATGAAACAGAAGTTCCATCCGTGAAGGGGATGTGGAAAATGCAGAGAGTAAAAAAAAAAAAAAAGCGTCAGCGTGGAAAAGGAAGAAGTAGTAGCGGCAGCAGAAGAAGAAGAAGAAGCTTAGGAGGAAAGTTTTCAATTCACTTCGCCACTTGCGATCGACAAAGGACGTCCTCTTTTCCGCTCCCCTCCCTTTTCCTTCTATCGTCGAAACTTTCGAAAAGTGTCGTGTTTCCGGCCCAGCTTGTAGCTTCTTGAATATTTTCCGAAGAACAACGATTACCGCGAGCACGTGCTGTGTAATTTCGCTCGCGACACCCGAAACTCGTTTGACCAAGTCTACTACACCGAAATATGGACTACTCTCTTATTCACACTTTTCAAGTCAAGCGTGTGTTCGAATGGGAAAATATATTTAAGGTGTATAATAATAACGAAATAATCATTAAAGAAAGAAAAAAAATGGAAAGAATTTTTTTAATTATTCTACGAAAGAAACTTCTTTCTTACATTTTTCACAATTTCATAATTCAAGCATAAAACGAGAACGAAACAAGTAATGATAAACGCTGAACGCGTAAACAAAGATCGACGAACTTAATTTCAGCGCGAAACGAAAAGAAAACAAAAAACGACTCTTCCTCCATCGAAATAGAGGGAAAGTTGCAAGTATTATACACTCGTTCGAAGGATGGAAACGGGATGAAATAATATTACAGAACGTTTCGTTGCATGGACGGAACAGGAGGTTGCATACCTTAACGAATCGTCGATCAACAATTTCACGCATTCGACAATAAAGGGTGGACCTGGAGGGAGGGGGAGGGAGGTGGCGCGGGAACTAATTTCCAGGGAATTTACAGATCGTTAGCGTGCACAACTGAATGTTGACGTGAATTTTCATGCAGACGTCTCGAGTGCTTTTAGCCAACAAATCGCGGTGAATTTGTAACAACTGACAGCCTCTCCCTCCCACCCCTTGAAACGCGTGCTCCACTCCCCAATAATTAATTCGCTAAACGTTGAAATCGTTCGGCCGTTTACGATGCGAAATATTTGACTCGGTCGGAATTCCTTCCGATCTGAAATTCGTTGGAGTAGAAAAAAAGGGGGGGAGGAGGGGGAGGAGAAAGAATGGAGGGAGAACGAGAAAATCGACGATTGAAGTTGTTTGTACCGTTTCGAATACTTCGGATGACAACGGGATAATCAATTCGAAGCTGTTTCTTTTTTCCCCCTCTCCCCCCTCGATACAGCAACATTTCTGTCCAATTAGTCGATGGAAATTTAACGCGAAAATATTGCGATTATATGTACGATATAGTACGTGAGTATGAGAACTTTAAGAAAGGGGGTAAGAAGAAGTGGAAATAGAAAAAAGAGTTTGAAGAAAATCAATTCGTAAAATGATATGTCTGTTCGACAGAGGTGCGGTCGAAATTCGTACACCATCTCTCTTTTATACCATCTCGGCCCCGAAACTCGAGAGAGAGAGAGAGAGAGAGAGAGTCTACGAAGGT